TCACATCTGTTCTGCTACACTCATGTCTTGCCCTTGATCTTAGCCTTCATTGGCAGTGGGTTCTCAAGGTCCAATCCATGCTCCTAGACAATAAATAAAAGCTATTGCCGGTGTGGCTCATGAAATTTTATTTCTACTGCCTACTATTTAGGCAGCTGGTATTCAATGTTTTCTCAGGTAGAGTACCTGGCTAATTCTTACAGGTAATCAGGATTGGAATGCACAATTTCTTACTTCAGATGTTTATATGAGCAGCAAGCTTTTTTTGCTTGTGGCCATCTTCAAAAATACAGACCAATCATACTTGTTCATGTTCGAGATGCTAGAAACCACCAACACAGGTCAGTGCTCAGCTTACATGGTGTAATACAAACAAGTGGAGAAATAGCCTCCCATCCTCTTCCAGTGTACAGTCAAAGCAACAGGCAAGGATGAACAGGCACATAAGGACATAACTATCCAAGTAACATTAAAGTTTATCGCCAGAATTGCTGTTTATTATTTATCAAAGATTGCAAAAAGCTTTTGAATGACAGTTAAACACAGGGATGCCTGTGCAGAGCAGCATTTCCATACCCATCTCCTGCAGCAGCTGACAGCATCCACCTAATGACAGAGGGAGAATGGGGCAGGCTGCTCCCCAGAATGCTTCCGCAGGATGCGCATTTGCACCTCAAAGATGTTCTGAATCTGAATCAGAGGTGTTTGTGTTGAACATCTTCGCATGGATTCTTCATGTGTGATTGTACTAATTGCTTTTTGAACTTCTCACATTTCCAACAAACTGTAGCAATGAGTTCCAGGATTTAAGTGCATTTTGTGAAGAGGCATCTTCTTTTGAACCTGTCTCCTCATAATCTTTTCTGGTGATCCCTCTCTCCTCCATCCTCCCTGCTGCCACATTAAACATTTCAGTAAATACTTATCCCTAAATCCAGTGGAAACTTTATATATATATATATACACAACTGTATATATATATATATATACAAAATAGAATTATATATATCTATCTACATAATAGAACAAAATTGTCTCATATTTAGATAATTCAGCTGGGTTAAAGCATGTGTGTATCTATAAGCATGTAAGATGCTGACCTTCCCAAATTGCAAATGTATGCTTTCTATTAACTCACCAAAAGCCCCTGACGATGCTAGCACAGATAACCTAGCTGATTCAATAGTAGCACTGCAACATATGTAATTAGTAAGGTGAGAATGTGCAACACACCGCCATAGCACAGATCAAGAGCAGCTGTGCTAGGGGTATTTCCACAGAAGCAGCAAGTTGCAGCAAGGAGGAACACATCTCCTTAGTGAGCCACTTCCAGCACTTGCAGTCTGAGTGCAGCCATGAAGTCAGTGTATTGCTCACACTTTCCTGACCGCATACTAAAGCAGAAGTCCTCAAATAGATCGCCAATATTGCTGGCCACATTTCGAGTGCTGTTTTAATACATTTTTCCTCCCACCTCGGTGAAGCAGCCCAGTCTTTCAGAGAGAAATGGTATAGAAACCTCACATTATGCTTCTCCATACACTGTATTTATCATGTGTGCCTCTACAGGATTGGGAGGCCCAAGCAGCAAACTCCAGTCTCTGCTGTGACCTACAGGCCAAGCCTGCATCTTTGTAAGAAGACCTACCACTCCTAAGGCCTGGGCTACCTACACAGTAAGGCCTGGGCTCATAGCACATCTGAGAGCATTTTCTGATGCAGTGCAGCTCAGAAGAATGGAGGAGAGATGGAAGAGTACAGGGTACAGTAATGCCTCTCTCTCCACTTCCTCCACTGATAACAGCCAGCCTTAAACAGATGCTGCTTTAAGAATGCGCCACACACAGCAGCTCTCTCACGATAGCACAGCACAGGCTACCTCTACAGTCTGAATAAGGAAAGCACGTTTGGAGGAAGAGAACTAAATGCAGCAGGAAGGACCACTACATCCATGAGAGGAAGCGAAGCTCTCAATGCATCACTTCTCATGGCAACCACACAGACACGCCTCAAGCAGCCCTTCAGGGCGAGAGCCAGCCGCAGCCAGGCGCCATGACTAACGCTGCGTTGCACGACAGCTGCCCAAGGCACCGCGCAGCCCGGGCTGCTCTTTATAGTGCGCTATTTTAATCGCGCTCGCTCATTGGCCACCTCCCGCATGACGGCAGCGGCTCTCCCGGGACAAAGTCCCCTCTGCGCTTCCTCCCCACACCCTCCCTGGGTGCTAGGGGTGGCGGGGTGGCGGCCGAGGTGCGGCGCGAACGGCAGTATTTGTGCGCATGCGTAATGGTCGCGCGGGAAGGAGAGCCGTCACCCGGGCGGGGGCGCGGTGCGCCCTGTGACAGCTCAGCGGGGCAGCGTTGGGAGCCCTCCTGGGCCCGTGGGCTGCGCTGTACTGGCTGGGCGGGAGGGCAGGAAGACTGTGGCTTCTTCGGCTTCTTCCCTAGCTAAGGACGGGAGAGACAGGAATTGCCCGTTTAAACTCAAAATGGGGGCGGGGCCAAGGGGAGGTTCCCGCCGAGCTGGGCTGAGGGCTGCTGCCGGTGCGGCGGGTGGGCTGGGGAGGGCAGCGCCACCCGAGGGCGGGGAGCCTGCAGGCTGGCTGCGTCAGAGCGGGTTGTAGGGACGTGAAGCTTGGCATCTTGTGGGCAGCATCTCAAGGTGCTGATGTCACCTGTCTGTTGGTGTCCCCGTAACAGAGAAGGTTTGAAAGGCTGGCAGGGGAAGCAGCTGTGAGTGTGAACCTGAGCGGAGAGGGAATGGAAGAGTCTTGCTGCTGTGTCAGTCTATTAGTGAAAGAGCTAGAGTATTCATAGGGAGTGAGTGCACAGGTAGCTGTGCCAGGCTTCACAGAAGTGTTCTGCCCTCAGAAGTGCTGCATGTGGACCTCTGCAGGCCCCTGATGCTGGGCAATGTACGGCAAGCCCTAACTCCAACTTTGCTGATTTTTATTTCCAGATACGCTTACCTATCCTACTCCTCCAAAACAGGATCATATAATCATAGAATAGTTTGTGTTGGAAGGAACTCTTAAAGGTCATAGTCCAACTCCTCTGCAATGGACGTCTGCAGCTATGTCAGGGTGCTTACAGCCTCTCTAGCCCAACCTTCCCTTGTCCCCAGAAACAAGGCATCAGTCACCTCTCTGGGCTACCTGTTCCAGTGCTTCACTACCATTATGGTTTTTTGTTTGTTTGTTTGTTTTTCTAATATCTAGTCAAAATCACATATCTTTTCACTTGAAGTCATTTCCCCTTGTCCTGGCACAACAGACTGTGATAAAGAGTCTTTCCTGTAGCTTCCCTTTAGATGCTGAAAGGCTGCTCTCAGGTCTCCCCAGAGCCTTCTCGCCTTCCCCATGCTGAATGGCCTCAGCTCTCTAACTCTACTCTCGCAGGAGAGGTGTTTCATCCCTTGGATCATTTTTGTGGTCCTCTTCTGGATGTACTCCAGCAGGCCCATATCTCTCCTGTATTGCCCCATCCCTGGAGGTGTTCAAGACCAGATTGGATGGGGCCCTGGACAGCCTGGTCTAGTATTAAATGGGAAGGTTGGTGGCCCTGCATGTGGCAGGGGGGTTGGAGCTTCATTATCCTTAAGGTCTGTTCCAACCCTGGCCATTCTGTGATTTCCATATCTGGATGCAGTACTCCAGGTGAGGTCTCACCAGCATAGAGTACAGGAGCAGGAGGTGGCACAGCTCAGGCCACTGAAGATTTATTTTTGGCATATAGTGCAACCACTTTGTGAACATTTACCACATAGGCTAAATATGTTATCAGGTCTTGGCGCCACTCAAAAATAGCTGCCGGAACACCTGGCAGATAAAAGACGTGTTATTTTCATACTTTGTATTTATAGAAACAGTTGGTGATTATAGTTGAGATGCATGCTTTCAGTAGCTGCAATCCCTCTTGCTTCCAGTAGGACTGCTGGTATGCACCTGATACTAAGGTCAGAAAACTACTGAGAACAGAGAAAGATAAGATTGCTATTTTATGTGGTCAAAGAGCTCAACACGTGCTGTGTGCTAGTCTGTACTGGGAGGACAGTCAGGTTGTAATTGCCTGGTATTCTTCCATGGGTGTGGATTTTTCTTCAGTTAATCAAATTCTGTTATCACTTTAAAATAATGTGAGACATTATATAAGACAAAATAATGTCTCACTTGACAGTGCTCTGAAAAAGGCACAACTTAAGTATTAGCTTGACAAACCTAGCACAAGACTTGCCAAGCAGAGATAATTACCTCTCTTAAATCTTCCAGGAGTCACCATCTGCAGAGTTCTTGGATGTAGTAATTGGAAGGATGCAACAGTTGAGCTGTGTGGAGATAGATGTGGGAAATCCCTAAACAAAAGGAAGGTCTGTACACACTGAAATTTCTGGCAGTGAAACGGGTTTGAAATGCAACAACATATTTGTGTGGCCTGGTGATACTTGTGTAAACCCTTCATCTCCCAAGGAATTTGTCTGTGCAGAGATGATCTGTGTTAATCTGGAGCCTGAGCCAAAAGAATCCTGGACGGCTTCTGCCAGAGGATAGACCTACCACATCCTTAGCACACAGATAGGAAAGAAAGGCTTTTCAGAGTCTTGTCTGCTAGCATCTACAGTAAAATTTTACTTGGATTTTGACTGGTTCAGTTCACACTGTATCCTGATTCAGACCATGTTTTTGGTAAGTGGAGTTACAACATAATACATAAACTTTGCAGGAACTTTTTCTGTTTGTCCAACTTCTGTTACAGCATTTCAGAACCTCCTTCTGTTACTGCCTAAAGAAACTAATTATTCTCGAAAGTATTTAATTGTTTTAATAATTTGCTGCTAGTTCTTTGTAATAAAAATTCCTCAAAATTTCTAAAGAGCAACCCTGGCTACTAGTCTTTTATACGCTCAGAGCTGTATTGTGCTTTTATGTGTATTTACATACGTAGTACTGTTGTAAGAACAGAGAAATGCATTCTTCTCAGCATCATTGTTTTCTTCTTCTTTCAGAAGAAATTTCCATATTCCATACCATGGGAGTACCAGCATACAGATTTTGCACAGAGCTTCCATCACTGATGATCGCATCTAGACAATAAAAGCAAGGAATCTCTTGCCTCTCACATATAGAGTTTAATTAAAAAGCCATGAGAGATTTTTCAAGACTTTTAATATATTTGGCAACACAACCTCACTGTGTGTCAAGATTCACAGGATTTTTGATGAGGCACACTGTTGAATTGTGTTTACTGGGAAAAAGTTTGGTAGGAAGTAGAAAGTAAAGTTTGCTGTTTTTACACAGATCTGCCTCATCTGGTCAGCTCTGTCCATGTCATTTGTTTTGGGTTACTCTATCCAAACAAACAAAAAAACAAACAAACAAAAAAAAAAGGTAATTTTTAGATTAATAATAGACCCAATTTTAAGACAATTTCCAGTGATTGGAAAGTCAAGGTTAACTGACGTTAAGGTTCAAATATACGCAACATAATTTCAGTCTTATTCCCTGAAGAGTGATTTTGAAATGATCCATACATCCCGAATGATTCAATTAGCTACAGTTTAAAAATAACGTGAGTACTTACAAATCCATCTGTCAGCTAATATCTTTCAAAAGGTAGTATTTGAATGCAAATTTTACTACTGTTGAGCTGACTATCAACTGCTTGGTCAAGCTGAGCACTTCTGCTGATATTAGGAAAATAATCCTTGAATGTTTGGCTTATCTCCTGTAACTGAAGCAAACACAGATTCTCCAGCTCCCACTGACTTCACTAGGAATTAAATGAGGACTTGTGTCAAAAGTAAAGTGCAGGTCATTCCCCAACATCAAAACGGTGAAACTTCATTGTTAGTGCAGGTCTTGCGTGCTTTTTGTCACTTAAGTGTCATAATTGCAGGTTACTGGAACCAGCAGTTTTACTACCACCAGCAAACAAGGAATGCCAGTGAAGTTTTGCTCTCACTAAAAGTCTCACCTACTACAGGAGAACAAGGGATCTGTGAGTAGTGTTTAAAAATCATGTAGGTCCTGTTTTTGTCTTGCTAGTGCAGTGGCTAACTCTGCAGTGCACAGCTCGATTTTCTCAGACCCCAGGATGTCAGAGAATGAACTGTAACATCTGGTAAGTGAGGAAAGTTGTAGTCATGAGAGGTGCTAATTTTAGGTTGCAGTTGTTGACATATTTATAATCAATTTCATAAAATCAGATTCTACCTGCCTCATTATTAAGCAATTTGCAGTGCACAGGGAAAGGTAGGCTGAGTAGAAGTCTGTCTTTGCATTCAGAAGGCAGCTCTTCTAAAAGGCTGTTCTAAGAGGGTGGTTAAATGAAGTGAATTTGTCACATGCATAGGTTTTTTCCACCAAAAGCCAACTGTTGGCAACCTAATGAGAGTCTGAAAATCTGTTTACAAAGCCAGTCCTGTTGCTTGTTCCAAATGTTACTGCATAGAAAAATAATTGCAGCTTTTATCAGAAAAATGTGAGCTCCAGAGTTGACAGAAACAGTGCAGTTTTGTAGAGGAGAACGTAGAGGTCATTTTGCATGCATGGGTCATTAAGGGAAGGAACTGCACCAGAATGTGGGAGGATAGAAAGCAAATGTCTGAGAAGGTCTTACGTACATGCAAGAAAACAAGGCAGCTTGTATGTAGCAGAGACTTACAATGTGAAAATCACTTTTACTGACAATTGCAGTTCTGAGAGGTTGTCTTGTTAACTCAACCTGTATGGATTAATCAAACATTTTTCTCCTGTGGAGAAAGAAAAAAAAAAATGCAATGAAATTTGGAACCTGCTCTGTGATATAGAGAACAAGAACGGAGGAGAATCTTTTTCTCACACTCAGCCAGATAGGACAGGTCAATATAGGAGCTGTACAATTATGTCTTTCAATTTTTGAAGAGTATTTTAAGATAGTTGTAAGTTATCACTAATGTTGAGGAATAATCACAGTTCCTAGTATTTCCTTTCTTACCCTTTTGCTATCAGGTGCCTATCCTGGGCCTGCTCTTCAATGACTGAAACTTATGAGCATTTTGGAGTAAGGCTGGGGTCTCTCTAATGCTGTATTCAAGCTGCAAGAAGCAGAAGTTGTATAAAAATAAGAGAAACATTGAGTTTAAAAAAGCATGTTGGAATCATTTTCAGTTCCTCATTTTTTTAATTAACAATGTTGCTTTACTTTCAGGTGGCTCCAGGCTGGTAACAGAGAGTGCTTAGGCTGGACTAAAAGTGCTTGGTTTCCTCTGTAGTGTTGTGTTTGCTCACTTGAGTGTGCCAGTGCTCCCATAGAAATGCAGTACTTCATGTAACAAAGTATTTACATGTCACCTGCAAAGCAGGCCATAAGTTACTTTCTTTACTTGGGAGTACATTCTGCTCGGGGCCATATTAATTGAGTATTAATAATTAGTGAAAAAAGTCATGAAGTATAGTAAATCTTATTGTGCTGTTAATACAGCGTTCACTGAATGCTGTAGCAAGCCCTTTCTCTCTTGCACGTGCTGCCCCATCCAGCTGTGACAGTGAAGGTCCTCAAGTGTCTCACAGCAGTCTGTTCCCAGCATGGAGCACCTCCAGCCAGCACACCCTGTTTATAGCAAGAGTTTTATTAACTGCTTGCACAGAACAAAGCTCTCAGTCCCACCATGCCCAGTCATTGCCGCAAGGCCTGGATGGGTAATTCTGAGCAATTTCTACCTGAGAAACCTCCTTCTTGGCTGCTGACTATAGACAGGTGAAAGAGTTTTTCAAACAAATTCAGGGTGAGTCACACCTTCCTTCCTTCCTAGGAATAAGAAGTGTTTATGCCTCACTCCACCACCCTCTCCTGTCCCTCTTCATCTGAGGCGAGAACCAGGGACCTCAAGATAGCTTCCTCCCCATCTGGGGTGAGGAGCAAAGGGTCTGCACTGCACAGTAGCACCACTGACAGAAAAAAAAAAAAGAAAAAAAAGAAAAAAAGAAAAAAGCAGTGTTTGATTAAAGAGTGCAAAAAGATAATGGAGCAGAGCAGAGCAGTCGGGCTTTTGAGGATCCCAGGAAGCAGGATGTAGCTGTGAGGTATGTAGCTCCAAGCTGGAAATCTTATGTAAATAATAATCCTTGAAGAAGGGGTGAAGGAGAAACTTCAATAATTCAAACAGTAGCTTCACATTTACCTTCCCTTTCCTTGTTTCTACTTATGCATAGCCAAAACTGCCTGACCTCCCTTGTGTGAGCACTGCCACCAAACATCATTTTGTATCACAAATAGCATAGGCCAGCAGGACTAGAAAGGTTATCATCCATCTATGGTACTCAGCACTGGTGAGGCTGCACCTCAAGTACTTTTTCAGTTTTCAGTGTTCAGTTTTGCCCCCCTCACTGCAAGAAAGACATTGAGGCCCTGGAGCATTTTCAGAGAAGGGCAACAAAGCTGTGAGGGGTCTGGAGCAAAAGTCTTATGGAAAGCAGCTGAGGGAACTGGGATTGTTTAGTGTGGCAAAGAGGAGGCTCAGAGGAGACCTTATTGTTCTCTACAACTGCCTGAAGGGAGTCTGTGGCAAGGTGTGTGTCAGCCTTTTCTCCCAGATCACTAGCAAGAGGACTTGAGCGAATGGCCTCAAGTTGCAGAAAGGAGGTTTGGGTTGAATGTTAGTAATAACTTCTTCTCAGAAAGAGTGGCAATTGGAACAAGATTAGTATAGTTGCTGAGCCCCTAGTTTGTTCTATTCGTATCATCTTAGTTCCCTAAAGAATAGAGAGCTTACCTCTTCCACCCTTACCTGTGTTAGATAAGATTGCAGAAGAAATCAGGAAATAGCACCATGACCAAAAAGGAGCAGCATTGGACCTGTAAACTCTTACTAAACGCAAAAGAGCATGCACAAACTCTAAACCTAGTGTTTGATAAGGCCCATTAAACAGGTGGATTACTGTGATCCTATGCTCAGATTGACAGATCAGTCTGACTCTGACCTCACACAAGTGCAAAAGCATTTCTGACTTTGTCCCTGTATGCTGCGTGCAGGTCTTTGGATAATGCTTAAACCACAAACACAGTTCAAGGTTATCATTTCACATTAACAAGGCTTGGCTAAAACAGTAATCTAAAGTAACCAATTAAAAATTGCAATGGGAACCTGTGCTGAAGTCACAGAATTTTCTCTGCAAAACCTCTGGATTACTGGCCTGATCTGGACTGCAGGGCTTTGGCACTGAGGCAGGACTGCAAGTTTGAGAGCTGTGGGAAGGGGTGCACTCACAAGCACCACTTGGAGCTTTCATTCTCCTCTCTGCAAGTAGTTTCACTACAGCTGAGTTTCCATAAATAGGTTCCACAGAATTAGTTTCTTGGTCTAAAAATGATCCACTTACCATTTTTCCTAATGTTCTGAGATTGCTTTTAGGCTGTGAGTTGGAATCCATCTGGGTGCTGGATATGCAGCACTGCATTTCTTCTCAAGGAAAAGCTGTGTTTATTAGAAGAACAGGAAAACAACCTACATTCACATCTCAACCCTGCAGTGTGCTTGTCAGTGCAATTTTCACTGGGTTCTTTAGCGATACTAATTACTGAAATACATTGTTTAAGCACACACAGTTGCTGCAATTGTTTTTCTGAAGCATTAACAACTCAAAGAAAAACATTATACTCAAAATTAAAAACCTCAGCCTCAATTTTACAGCCATGGTTAATATCACTGGTCAGAGATTTCAGGGCTAGGAGAGAGAATTTAGATTATTTGCCTTGTCTACTGTGAAACTCAGGTTGTCAGATAGGAATGCCAATAACTTTTGTTTAGGGCTTTGTTTGAGTTAGATTGTTCTGCTGAAATTTAACACCTGCAAAAGCAAACAAAACTTTTCCTTACTTCTTATTTACTCACCATTGCTGAACAGTGGCATTTGAAACATAATTGCTTGTTGAAGCGTAGAAAAAGAAATCATTTCAAATACTACCCACTGGCTACTATGGTGAAATGGTCTCCATAATCTTACTTGAAACAACAGTGCTATGTCAAAAGTCCTTAAGCACTGCATTACTATATTGTATGCTGCATTTTAATATAATTCCTGTACAAAATATTTTTTTTCCTTTTTTTTTCCTTTTTTTTTCCTTCAAAATAAGGGTGCAGACTGAACTCTGAGACAAGGAGGAACTTTGTGCAAGAGTCTGTTCTGTTATCTAAAGGTTATTGTTTCTTATCTGTACAGATCCGTACAACACAGCTAAACCCACTATAGTGATGAGTGAGCAGCTATTTCAGGCAATAGGGGTAGAGGGTAGAGAGTAATGCAAGGAAAGAGCACATTTAGATATCAGCAGTACAGTAAAAAAGTGTTCTTTGCTGTGACATTGCTTACTATCAGACAGTCTCCTAAAAGGAGCAGGAGAGTTGCTACTGGTTTGAATAAAACTGGGGAAAAAAACGCTGTGTTGCTGGAGGCAGTTGTGCTCAGAAAGAAACAGTTTGGATGAAATGCTGCTTGACAGCCAAGAGAGCTTTCTTGAGTCCTGTCCACACTGCTTTCTTGTGACGCCCTAGCTGCAGGTCTCCAGGATGCCGGTAGCTCCTCCCCGGCACACCTCCTGTGCAGGGGGTCCCCACATAGGGACTGATGGGTGGCATTCTTCACAAGGACATCCAGCTCTTACTCCACCCCGTGATTCAGCCACACATTCACACCCGGTTTTGTTGTCGTTTCTAAGGCCCGTTTGGCATTCTCCTGTCTCATAGCATAAGGCTGGTGAAGCAAATAGCTAAACTCAGGGCTGTTGGTCTTCCCACTCTTCTCAGTGCTGCTGTCCTGTGTTGCAGAGCAGCCACGGAGGGCTTGGCAACAGAACTGCTTCGCAAGCCAGGCCTGCTGTGTCTGCATGGACTGCTGAACCCTTCTTGCAGGCTCTTGCAAACCAGCCTCAAAGACCAGTTTCTCACTGACAGTAGCCAAGAAGCTGCTCATGGCTCCATGCCCAAAGTGCTTGGACACTCTGAATTGAGGTCACACCTAGGAAGTCTGTGTTTCAATGCGCTGTGTCAAACCAGGCCGCATTACCTGGTATGGCCCAGTAATAAGCCCTTACATCAACCACATCCACATAAGAATCATGTTTGACCTTGAAGCTGAACTTTGCAAAAGAAAACTATGATTGATATTATGCTTACACCTCACATCCCATCTGTCCTGGCACACAGACCACAGTCAGGGAGGCCAACACAGAGCAACCCAGTTTCTTAGAGGAAAGGGCCATAGCAGTGTATATATGCTTTTGGACTAACATGGTTCACTTGTGTCTACAAGATGTTTCCAGCTCATAAGCTCCCGGTCTCAGATCTGGAAGGCCAAATGACATTGTTGGGAAAAAGAAGCAAACTAATTGGATACAGAAACTCTACTTCATGTTTGATTGCTGCAACTACTATGATTTACCACACCAAGATAATTAAACATACCAAACAATTAGCTCATGAACTATCAGCTCTGGGGTCACCAGATCCTCTGCCTCAACAGATACCAGGTAGAAGGACACAATACCCTGCTTCTTATGTCCAGCAGCAGCTCACCCTTATCCTCCCACACTGTAAGTGCTTGAATGTCAAGTCAGAGCCATGGACCAGCAAATCTGACTCCAAAAGCATTCCTAGCAATTACTGGGAGGGTACGTGGATGAAACCTGGCACAAAAGGTGATCATAAGGTTACATGTTATGTGTAACCAAATAGATTTTCCCTCTCACCTTGCTTTTGTCTTTTATTAAATGAGACCAAAGGATTCATCATGCAGCCTTTTAAAGAAAATCAGCCTATTAGTAAGTGAAACAAAGCTGAGCTGCATTCTGCCTAGGAGCAAATCACATCTGTATGTGATGTAAGTCATGGTGGTAACATCTGAGGCAGCACTCCAACTCTATTTCAAAGGTTCAAGTGGTACTCAATTAGTACCTAGCTCCTGAGTTACCTACTGCAGACAGGTGAAATTCACCTGCTATTTTAAAATAGTGTAATTATACTATTTTCCAAGGTGTTTTGAGGAGTTGCTAGTCAACACGTTACAGGACTCGGTGTTTATCTTTTGTGTCATGCGTCAGAGGTAATTACTTCACAAGCTAGGTGTGTCACTGGGAAGCACTGAAAACTCCCTTTGTTTCAGGTTACCTGAATGCCTCAGTATGGGAGGTGAGCAATAACCAACCTGATCCCCTTCTCCTCCAGTGAGGCCTCATAGAAGTTACTGCGAATGGTAGCCTCTTTGTTTCTGAGTTACTGGCCTTAAGGTAGCTGGGGCTGATTAGATAAGGTGACTCCATCTGCAGCCTTGATATAAAATGAATTTAGTTTGCCCTCACTGTACAGCAAGGTCATTGAAAACTAATTAAGGACATATGTATCCACTTGTAAATTGTAAATGAGCTAGCTGTTTGCTGTGAAACACAAATAGCTTTTTCTCATGAATGAATATTTAATTGAGGTACAGTTCTAGGTAAGTCCTTACAAAATATCAGAGTTAGAATTCAGATCTAGTGAAAGTTGGCAGTGTTCTGCTTTGTTTAGCAATGTCTCTCTGCTTCTACCTGCTTTGTATTTGGTCTTACATATTTATTGGTGCCCGCCTGTTTTCAACATTATTGTTATCTCAAAGCAAACAGAGGATTTCCCAAGAGATAGGACGATTCTTGTACTTCAGCCTCCAGCTTAGTGCCTTACTCATATACCAAGGTCCAAATTACCCTCCTTTATCCACAAGAGAAGCCTCCATTGAATATTCTTTTCTGATTCTGCATTGGTTGTGCAGACTGAATTGCCTCTGGACAGCTGCAGTCTGTAGAGAGCAGAAAGAGCTTTTGCACCTAACATCAGTTTGAAATGCTCTTTTCTCTAAGAAGCAGGTGAGGCAGAGTAGGAAGGCTGATGTAGTGCCAGTTATAAGCAGCAATCCTGATATTACTTATTAACACTAACCAATCTTATGCTACAAAGCGTTCAAAGGGAGAAAGGTCTTGTTGCACAGAGTATTTAAATATTTGAAACTAGGCAAAATATGCTGAAAACAAATGGAGGAGATGGTACTGAGTGGAAAACAGGAAAAAAAGGGACCATCTGAGATTTACCAAGTAACCTCTGCATCAAGCAGTTCCTTTTGTTTCAATTAGGAAAGACGAGGGAAAACCCTCTTCTACTGTGTGAGTTGGCATAAAACATCAGCGTACTGTACATCTTATATCACTGACAGGCGAGGCAAGAACCATACTAGATCTTGCCTCAGTATTTAACTGTAAATTGCATTACTGACAGGGCACCTTCTGAAGTGGAATCAAAAACCAATTGCAGTCAGTGCAAACAACTTCACAACTTATAGTGAACGAGCACTTTGCTGTGGAGAGAACTAGAAAGGTGGTAGAATCACTGTCAATTAGTCCTGAGTCTGAGATTTAAGGCCTTTCTAACAGAGTCTTGATTTGAGAATCACTGGGTGAAACTCAACAGCTTACTTTACACTGAAAGTCAAACAATATGGTCCTTCTGATCTTAAAAGCTGTGAGTCAGTATGATATCACAGGAAAAGAAAATATACTTGATATCTATTAATTGTACATTTTATTTTGTGTGCTTATTTTAGCCCTGAAATTCTGAATTTTGACACTAGTTGAAATAGCTTGTTACTTTATTTTTGAATTCCAACAGCATCATCCTTACAGTGAGAGCAATAGAAATGTCAGTGATGTAGATTTTTTCTCTCTATCATCCAGTGGAGACTTTTTTGCCTTCACCTCCCTTTACTACTCATGCCTGCTGTAGGCACACATCTGCGTTCCGTTTGTGAAGCACATGAACTAAGTTGGTCAACATTATTTGACCCGCTCTTTTTGTCAACACTGTCTTTTTACATCTCTGGTTTGATGCTTAAAAAAAAAGAAGATCTGGTCCCTGTAGAAATAATTCAGTCTTGCAGGGGGTTATTTGAAATACATGGCACTGAGCTCTGCTTCTAATCAGACTCCAAATAAAATAGCACAAAGGAAGATATGAAGGTAAAATAAAGATTACCTGTACAGGGGAACTCCCTTCCTCTTTCCTTTCTTATCGTATGCATTAAGATCATTATTTCATTTTGAGACGTAAAAGCTGTGTTGCCCCTAGTTTCCATTTGCTTCAAGTCTTGGACAAACACGGCTGGATTTACATGTGTAGAATAATCTTTACAAATCCAGCACATTGTGAACATCTATTGTCACTTAATACATTTTTAAACAATGCTCTGTGATGTGATTTTTCTCATTCAACAGTTTGAGCAAATTCTTATTGCTTTTTTTACTATTTATTTTCACTAATAAAATCAATAATTTACGGTGGATTTCAGTTACAGAGACGATTATTATAGATTTTCCTTGCTTGATCACATGCATGTTTAAACTGTGTTCATCTAGTATGTCCCTGTACAGCTCCATCATGGTCAAGGAGAGCGTCATGTAATCTCAAGGAACAATTGTGGGTACAGCCTGAAAAAAAGAAAAAGAATGCAAAGATAAGGGTCTTCCAGCATGTAACTGTTGGATCATTTAACAGCGTTTATTTCCAGGCCTGAATTCACCTAACCATTTCTTAGCACAAACTCACACGTACTGGAAAAACACATTAATTGAACTTGGCAGAAACTTCTCATTTAAGGAACAACAGAAAATGAGGAACAAGCTTTGAGCTCTTTTACCATGTATATCCCCTTCAAAAGAAACAAAAGAGACCTGGAGAATGTCAACAGTGCTTTGAAAGAAAACGGTCATCCACTGTGACCTGAATTTGTCGGGTTTTCATTAAGCTCAGTGTGGGTAGTAAGGAAGGAGCTCTCAGTTCAAGCAGAACTGGAACTCAACAGATCCTTGGCCACTGTTCCTGGAGCATGACAGTGCAGGAATGCCAGCGTTTCAGGAATTCTAACTGGGAATAAACTGCCTATTCACAGTCATGCGCAATGAAACAGAAGCTACTGTCAGTAATACCATATGATTGCTTTTCCTCCTACAGCTCTTAGAATTGACAAAGAAAATGATCTTCTTCATTTTAAACCTATACAAAGTGTCAGAATGCGGTATGCTTTCTTTTATCTGCTACGCTGAATGCATGGCCTGTAAGTTGTCAGAAGTAAGTCACTCTGTGTTTCCAGTTAGAAAAAATCCCAGGAGTAAAACTGCAAACAGATCACCAGAGATGCTGCAAGACTATTCCAACCATGCTTGGAAAATTTGGATAACACTTCCTATATTCAGAAACAAGAAATTCAAACCTGCCTCTTACTGAGACCATTGATTTTTTTGTGGGCAACCAATAATGGTATTTTTAGGACATAAGAGTCCTTGCTTCCTAATTTCAGGGTAACCATACTTGGGAAGATGTGTTTTAACTAAAACATGGCTAGTGCCAGATCTGTTAAGCAAAACCACTTTATACTGATAGGATTTTCTTGAGAAAATTCTGTTCAATTCTTTGAATTCATAAATGCTTTACATCAAGTTGAAATGTTATTACAAGCAGAACAACAACATTAAATTGTTTTTCTCCTTAAAACAGATGAAAAATCTTAAAATACAGTTTGGTTAGAGGGCAGTAAGGCACTGGAGCTGTTACAGGGAAGAAAACAGAAACTGGGTCCTGCTACTGACCTGCTGAGCAATCTAGGTCCTTTCATCACCTCCCCTGCTTTAGTAATTCCTGTAAGTTGTTAGTAGTGCTATACTCTTAATAGAGCAGGTTAAGAACAAGTGTTGGATCAGAGCAGCTGTTAATCCTGTAACTTAAAGGCTTTCATTTTGATTTGGCTCTTATGCTTGATTGTGAGTTCTGGCACAAAATGCTGTAGTTAGGGTGCCTATAAAAGCTTTCTCCTGCTTAGCCAATGCCTAAATCCAGAACCAACTGTGTATTTTTGTTGCTTTTTTTTTTTTTTTTTTAATATGTGAATTTCTCAAGCTTCTACATTTGAATTTGTTCTTTCATATTTCTGCCCTAGACTGTTCTGATGAGAGCTGATTTCATGCCTGCTCTCATGTTCCTTCACTCCTGACTCAAATGGCAATTCAGTCCATAAGCATTATCAGATAGTGCTTATCAGTATCACACATGATGCCCATGCTCCAAAAATTCAGCGTGCTGACTGTCAGGACACTGTCAAGAAAGCCACAGAACTGAGAGCTTTCATCTCCTCTCTGGAGATGTGATCTAGTCTGGTTTTACTGTGTCTGCAAAGGATGAATAGATTTTTTTGTATAAAAAGGAAGGAAGAGGTAGCCTTATATACCTTCCCCTCCATTTAGGAGGGAAGTAGAGAGTGAAATGTAAAGGAAGAAACTCAGGGACCCAGAAGAGAGTTTCTCACTGTAAAAAAAACAACTTGCTGCCCTGCTGAACTGAGAGTTTAGCAACTCACAGTGCTCTGTAGCCAGGGTGGTTTGAAAACACATCTTGCAAAAGGCAAAAGCCCAGCAAGGAGGCTAAGGGTCTCTAACGAACGCTCCAACATGGCAATTGTTCTTTCCCCTTCCACAGATGACAGTACTGCCTGTATGGGTTCAACATGTTCTCGTTGGTTGGGTTTGGGTGGAGTGGTGTTGAGTAAGCTGGTAGTTATGGATACCACTGAGGTATCTATCTTTCCCCATATATTGCAGGTGATTGTGGAAGAATGGCACAGGGTTATGTGCTGTGGCAAACAGGAACCTAGAGATTGTATGTTGCCACATTTAACTATTAGTTACCTAAATTCCTTTTGCCTCTGCCTCTTTGTAGTTAGGAAGCAATGGTAACTGCAATAAAAATTCTTCTTTTTTCAATCAAGCCAAAATATGGTATTAACAGCAAGGAATAAAAATACCTATATGCTTTTCGCACCTATATGCTTCCACAAAATAATCCAAGACCACCACATAGCATTCCGAGTGAGAGTGGCAACAACTAGGTTCTTACAGTATTCCTTACAATTGTTTCTTGGGCTCAGCAGACTGCCCAAAACAGTGATGTTCTGGTCTGCTCCACATCCAGTACCATCCTACTGAATAAGGCATGAGTCCCACCATAAACTTATTGCTTAAAAGAGGAAGTCTCCTCACAAGCCATATGTTGTTAAATTAATCTGATTAAAGTTTATCTCAGTGGGATTGTTCTATTTGAAAATAGAGGCTCTAGCTGTTTCCCAAAAATGTTTTACCTCATCTCCCTCAGAAGCCATTTAGCTTTGATTGTTTTTTCTCACCTGCTGTTGCAAGCTGCTTCACATATGGGAAGCATTGTCCCAGTTTTACAGTAAAGCCCTCTCCTGTTTCCTAAGATCACACAAGAAGGGAATATAGCTGTGAATTCTATCAGTCTCTGCTCCCCTCCCTTCTCTCAAACCTGAAGCAAAGGTGATTCTTTTATTTGAATGTGGCACTATGAGTGAGTGCCTAGCACCATCTCTGCTGCAGGACCTGTAGGAAAACACAGAACTGTGTTTTTGTTACCATCCCTTGGCATACCCCAGGGTCTCCACAGCCCTGTATCTTTGACATGTGCTGGCTGTTACCTTGTTTTGAAGCTTCCAGTTCCTTTTCTTGAAATGAGGACATTGAAGACAGCAGCTTGGATCTGCACGTTTCCCTAATCTCAGAGCTCACCTGCATGCCATTGCCGGCACACCGGAAGACCTGTGTCCTATAGTCCGTTGCCCGTGACAACGTAAATAGATCTGTTCTCACACCCCAGCAGGCGGGAGGCCACAGCTCCTGCAGGTAAAGCAGCTGGGAGCTCTGCAGGAGCATGGCGGTGGATGAAGGGTGAGGAACAGGGGGCACAGGCACAGTGCGTTGTGTCTGCATGCCTACGAATCGGCTGGTTGGTTGCACAATCTTGATGCAAGAGCACAGCTGGCTGAAGCAGCCGTCTCACTTTGTCGTTTCCAAGCTTCGGTGAATTCTCAAACTTTTATTTCATGCTGAAAATGTGCTTTAATAACAAAAATCCATCCTGCCTTTTGTTTGAAGTAATTCATTTTGGGCTTCAGAAAAAAAAAATAAACAACAACAAAAAAAATAGCACCTTTTAGAGACTGGCGATCGAGCACACGAGTCGCCCACACACTAACTCCGAAGGGCCTTTCTTCCCTCTCCCGCTCTCCAACTTGACAATCGCCAACCCCGCCGCAGGGTCAGGGTTCGGGGCAGAAGCAGGTGGAGCGCTGCCCGCCGCCATATTGCGCTGAGGGTCTCCCGCTGAGGGCTGAAGAGAGGCCGCGCCCGCGGGCACGGGGGCGGCGCTGGCAGGAATGCCCGCGCGGTCGCCTCTGCCTGACGGGTGCCGCCTGCCGCACCTGTTGCATCGCTCCGAGAGCGGTCCCGCCCGGGCCGGGGTCCCCAGTCCGCGCCCCGAGGTGTCGAAGCGCGGCCGGTGAGGTGTCGGGCCGCTGGGCGAGGCCGCCCCGTGCTCGCAGAGCGCAGGGGGGAGCGGCGGGGAATGGCCGGTGGCGGGTGAGTCACTGCCGCAGCCCCACCTGCGTACTTAACCGCCGCCGGGCGGCCGGCGCCGCACTCGCGGGTTGTGCCGTCGCCGTGGCCGGGAGCGGCTCTCACTCCTCCTCCTTCTCCTCCTTCTCCTCGCGGGGCGCTCGGCTGAGGCGGGGCAGCTGCTGCATGAGCGTTGCTCTCTGGAGCTGCGGAAGCATCGACAGCGCTGAAAATGCCGAAACCGGTAAGCGAGGCGCGGGGGCTGCCCGGGTGCTCTTGTCTGCTGCGCCTGGGCTCTGCCGAGACGCCTAGGGAAGCTCCATGGGGCGCGGACTTAACCGCGAGGAAGCTCCGGAACCAACCGAGCGGCCGCTTGGAGCGGCTCGGTTCAAACGCGGAACCGCCCTAGGGAGCCATGCTGAAAGTCGGGCCGCTCGCCCGGCGGCGGTTGGAGGGGAGGACCGCGCCCTGGGGCCGCCGAAGGCGCTCCGCCGCCGTGTCCGGGAGGGAGCCGGCATCGGCGGGAGGCTGCGGGCGTTGATGAACTGCCCTCGGAGCGCCGTGACCGGGATCGCGCGGAGCTCGCGGGGCACCGAAAGAAGGGTTTACTGTGCTCCCGCGTCCGTGAGGTGGCAAAACTGCACCGGCTCTCACTTGGTATTTGTGAACGCTTAATGACAGGTCCTCGTTTCCTGCCTTCGTGATTAAAAAATTAAGTCCCAGGGAATCATAGTACCGTTCCCCACAGTGCTGCCGCTGGGTCTGTTGCCAGGTGGTCTCTAGCAGTCTTCATTAAGGCGTTTCTGCTCCTTTCTTTCTTTCTTTCTTTCTTTTTTTTTTCTTCATTGGAAAATTTTTTATTATTTTTTTTTTTTTTTTTTTGTTTCTTTTTTCAGATTGTTTTGCTTTGAAATCTGCTGCCACACTGGCAGTTAGAAACGGTAACTCCCTTGAGGAGCTGGCTGGTACGGAGCTGCCTGCACTCATTGATGCAGGCAGCTTCGGAATCTGAAGAGCAGAGTAGATTGTTGCTGTCTGTTTCCAAGAGAGGCAGTACTTAAAACACAGCACAGTGAAGAACTTCCAAGATTATTAGCTATACCTTTTGGAAGGAGACTAGGCAAGCTTATCCTTGGGGTTATAAGCAGTGGATGTTCTGCCACTGTAACGCTAAATTTAACTTAGTTAAGGAGAGGTTAGATTAACTTACATTGCAGTTTCTGTAAACTTGGGGGGGGAGGGGGGGAGCAGAAGAAAGAATTCTTTCTGTCTTTGAATTCTTTGAAGAAGTGCTAAACCTTCATTCTTCCTGGATGTATTTAAACAACAGGAGGTGATACTGGAAGCCATGAGTAGGTGTGGGAAAAATCTCTTTATCTCTCTGCGGAAGGACAGCCATGCTTTAATGGTTTCTGAGACGTGACCTGCTGTCCAGGATTTATGGAGAAGACTCTTTGTCCAGAGTTTGTGTGGCATAAGCTGTTCTTTTTGCAGTCTGCATTCAATTCCCCCTTGTTGGGGAGGCTGACTGCCACCTTAGCGGATGCATACAAAGATAATTTTGTAGAGGTTTTTTAACAGAACACTTTGGTCTGACTTCTGCAGATCGAGACAGTATTCAGATCCTTCAAATCCAGCTCATTTGTTCTTAATACAGCTAAATAGGATTCCTATCACTTTGCAGGGTGAGGTGGGAAGGGGTGTGAAGTTGTCGCTCCAGAGCAGAACTGTGCTCAGAAGGAGCTTGATAAGAGCCTTTGAGGTGTGTGGGGACTGATATCGTGAACTCATAGGAAATGAGGAGGCAGTTTTTGTTTGATAGGTCAAATACACGGGTACTAAATAGATTCTACCTGCACTTGTTTGTGTGTGTCTTGTCAGCTTAGCGTAAGTATACACAGTGTTGTTTGTCAGACCTCATGCTGATAGGGATGTGGTTTTACAAGCTTGTTATCAGTTGTCATCTTAAAATTTTTATTTATAAGCAGAAAATAATCACCAAGATCTTGGCAGTTGCTTTCTACCTGTCCCCAAAGCAGCAAAGGTAAACCTCCATACAGAGCTTTTGTGGTAACAGAAAATATGCAGACAGAAAGCTTACAGACTGGAATTTAGTCTTTCACAGTAAATAAGTCCAGTGACAGTAAAATGTGAGTGATTTTGTATATTAGTAATGTACCATAGTGAAGTACTAGAAAGCCAAGCACACGCCAGATTCTGTACCAGTGCTTTATTGCTGTTTGTTGGATCAGACACATGTCTAGGGTGCTCAAAATATATCTTGGCAACGTTTCAGGTAATAATTGTGAAATCTTCTTTGATAATTAAGGCAAGTGTTAATTTATAATTCAACACAGACTTTCTGCCATGTGTAACAGTTATAGAGTAACAAGATCTCTGGAGTAAGCTGTAAATATGTAACTTCTCTTATATGTAACCCCAGCTCTTAAGGGTTTTTAGCTGGAAGTTCACCAACAGTTCAGAAGCTTAACTTCCATCTAGTCTGTACAATAGTTCATAAGGTTTCACGAATGGTAAATTATTACATAAAGAGACACAAGAGATGTTATCTTGTTCAAATCTTTCTTTGTTTTCTGAGGAGAAGCGAAGTGTGCAATAAACTGACTTGATGAGCCTTGCGTCTTTTCATTACTGAAGTGTCTGTGTGCTCACTGTGTTTTTCCTTTATCCATATGTTGCTAGCTTATTTCTGCTTGACTCATTGCATGGATGGGGTTCTAGCTGAATACATCCTTTGGCAAAGCAAGCCAGTCAAATAGAGCCACAGGGCTGAGGACTACTGAACATTACTTACAGAAGGAGAAGGAAACGTGATCTCTGCTCTATAGACCTGTTAATTTGATCTGACCTATCAACATTCTGTGGTACTTTTTTGAAAGTAGATTATTCTTTTTACTCTTAGAAAATATTGAGGAGGAGGGAAAGAAAGCATCTCAAGAAATGATGTCAGCTTTGCAGTAGAGCATTTGATGTAATGTCACATAAGGACCTTTAATACTTGTCTACATTTTTATAACACTCCTAAAGAGAGGTCAGCAATAAATGCAGCCTATCAACTTCTGCTGCTAAAAGAGGGTGCAGGGGAATATATCAAGGCATCATTTTCTACCATGTATACTAATAGCCTATGTTCAGAAAGCTGAGCATACCAACAATATCTGCCAGTGATGGGGGGGCAGAGAGCCATCATATGTAGGAGTATAAAGCACATATATTAAAAAAAAAAAAACACCCACAAAAAACCAAAAACTCTCCCATTTCAATAATTAATCTTGGTAGGGTGGTGGAAAGAGTTCCCTCAATGTATGGGATAGAATGATATGAACTAGTTGTTGATAGGATGGACTGTCTTGTCCATTGATCTGCAATATATGGAGTTTCCCTGATGGAAAGCAGTAATAGGAGGTGTTAGAAAATTTCTTGAAGATAGGTTGTCATACTTATCCTTGTCCAGAAAACACAAATCCTAAGCAGAACATGGAGAAGGTTTTGGGGTTGATTGTAGGAGGAAAGCCTCCTCACAAAAAGGGAGCTTGTTTAGTTTAAAATACAAAGGATTTAAATGCCAATGAAAGGGAGGAATTGCTTTAAGCAAGGCTTATAGTTAAGGGAACTTGGAGATATCAGAGCAGTTCAGTTTCTGGTTGCTTTCTCCTCCCCCGGAGCGTTCTAAGACCTAATGCCCTTAAGATAAAGTCTGACGAAGACACAATGTAGTGCTGCTGCCTGTAGGAGTGCACAGCTGGAACAGATGACTCAAAAGGCTTTTCCCAGTCCTGTGTTATTATTAATGTGCTAGTGTGTGCCTGGCACCAAGTGGTTAGATGAGTCCTCCGTACTTGTTTGCTATTGAATATACATGCATTCTAAAAATGAACACGAGGACAGCATGTAAGTCTTCAAGCCAAACCTTTATCTGTCTGTGAACACCCAATGGCATTACAATTCAGCATTTGTCATAAGCCAACCTGAAGAGCAAGACGTGTAGCAACAAAGATTTACTCTAAATACTAATAATTTTTTATATTTTCCAGATCTTCCCAATTTCTTCTTAACTGTGTCTTCTAACTGCATGTAACAGTTTTGTCTTCAATTTCTTCAAAGCAAATTTCTGCAACAGGACTGAATAATAAAAAAAAAAAACCAGAAAACAAAAAAAGCACAAACAAAAAAAACACCCTTTAGTGATCACAAATAATTAACATGCTCTTGGCTTATGGATAGTTATGGATTTATGCAGGAATAAGTTTTTGGCTTTTTTTTCTTCTGAGCACGAATTGCAATACATCAGATGATACAGTATTTGGTGCACTTGCTACTAAGGGTGCACGCTCTGGTGCAAAATGGAAGAAAGCTAGTATCAACCAAGTGTGCAAAGTCTCACTCAAGGCTTCAAAAGGAAGTTGAAGGATTCTGTTAATAGTGAATGTAGGAAGTAGTTCACAAGTGGTTAAAGTTAGAATAGAGTGAGTTCACAATTATGCCAAAATCCAAATTACTGTATGAGCATAAGCATTCCTGAGGTCAGTCTGTTCTTGTTAGCTGCTTTGGAGAAATCAAGTGTTAACTGTTAGTGTTAGTCACTACTTAAATAATTTCTTAGCCTTCTTAAAGGGCAGAGGGTGGAGATAAGCCTTCCTGTTCTACTTCCTCCCATGTGAACATCTTCCTCTGTTCACGAAAATAAATAAATAAAAAATCCGTGATATGTCAGGACTTTTTGAGAATAATTCTTCTTGATGGCCGCTGAAGGTTCCTGCTTCAGTGTTGTTCTTGTTTGGCAAGCTGTGTCCAAAGGGCTTTATGTGCACTGTAAATCCCATAATCACTCAATTGACCTTGAAGGAAGGCAGTGCTGCCTAAGATCATTGAACCACACTACACACTGTTAAGTAATATATCTTGGCTGTGCCGTGTGGTTG